GTTGCAAGCAAGGTATTGGCTGCAGCTGTGGTCTCATCTCAGCTGTGCTTGACTGAGAGGAAATGCTTCCAAGCTTGCTCATGTGGCTATTGGCTCAAGACATCAGCTCCTTCTATATAGGCAGCTCCAGTATAATAGCTAAGTTTCCCTTGGAATGAGCAAAGCAAGTAAAAGTGCAAGAGAGGATGTCTAGGACAAAAGCCAGTCTTTTTGTAACCTAATCTTGGAAGTGAATCTCACCACTTCTGCCACATTCTGTTTGGTAGAAATGAATCACTATTTCCAGCCCACCCTGAAGGGTTAGGGGATTACACAAGGGTGTGAATACCAGGAGGCGGCAATCATTGGGGGATATTTTAGAGGTTGCCAATATGCCCTTTACAAGAATGGAATTCCCCTATGTTAACATTGTACCATAACATAGTAACCATAAAACATTTACTGAAACTAAGAAATTATCCTTTGTATAAAATAACTAAAATATTGATTGATTTGGATTTCATCTGGTTTTTCCACAAATGAACCTTCTCTGTTTCAGATCCCACCTTGCATTTTGGTTGTCATATCTTCTTATTCTCCTCCAATCTGTTGCAGTTTCTCTCAGTCTTTCTTTGTTTTTCATGACCATGACCCACTTTGAAGAGAATTGATTAGATATTTTGGAGAAAGTCTTTCGATTTGGCTGTTTGATGTTGGGTCAAGATTAGATTGAAGTTAGGCATTTTTAATGCATCTCGTCAGGGAGCACATAATATTAATATGCATTACTGATGCTGTTTGATCACTTGGCTAAAGTGGTGTCTACCAATATTCTCCACTGTTCTACATATTTATGAATTTCCACAAGACATTGCTTCTTTATTTTATTATATATGTATGTGTGTATGAAATATAGACCAACATAAATATATGTATATATAAAAAGGTGTGTGTATATGTGCATATATATGCTACACATTATTAAGTGTTCTTTATTATTGTCTGTAGTCCTGTACTTGGATCATTTACTTCAGCCTAAAAGACTTTTTTTTTGGTATTTACTTAGGTCTGCTGGAGATTAGTGATCTTCTCTTTATTTGTATTTTATTTAAAAAATAGATTCAAATTCTGTTATTTCTTTCTTTTTTTTTCTCCTCACCCGAGGATGTGATCAGAGAAAGGAAGGGATAGAGAAACATCGATCGGTTGGTTGTCTTCCATACATTGCCCAACTGGGGCTCAAACCCACAACCCAAGCATGTTTCCTGACCAGGAATCGAACCAGTAATCTTTTGGTGCACAGGATGACGCTCAACTAACTGAGCCATTCTGTCCTGGCAGAGATTTATCTATATTTTTATCAATTATCCCCATCTTTTGCTCTCAATATATTATTCATTTTAAAGTCCTGTACTAACTTCAGTATCAGAATCTCCTAAAAAATCATTTTTTTTCCTCTCAATTTTTACCTTTTCTTGCTTCACAAATTTTATAATTTTAGTTTATATGCTAGACATTGTGAATAAATACCATGAGAGTGAAAGTACTATTTGCAACAGAGAGGATTTTCCCTTTTCTTTGTTAACCAGATAGAGTGACTGATCATTCATTTCAGAAATGACTCATTCTACCTGTGATTGTTAATGATTTGTTTGGATTTTTGCTTTAAGCTGACAAGTCTTTGATTCTTCAATAATTAAAGATATTCAGTTCAGTCTTTCAGATGTTTGAATTTAGCTGTTTGGACTCAGCCCTTGCAGCTTTAGAATGTAACAAATGTAAGGGGAAACCAGCTATGTGTTTTTGTGGTTACGTCTTCTCAATGGATATTTGTCTCATAAGCACTCCAAATTCCTCACCTTGAAAGCTCTTCCCCTCAGGCATTCGTTACTTAGCTCCCTGCCTGATGCAGGTTCAAAATCTGGCAAATATGAGACCCGATGTTTATCATAGGCCCCTCTATCTAGTGGGACTTGGTTTGTTATTAATACCATGACTGTTCAGAAGATTTCATTCTGCTTTTCTGGCTCAGTTCCCCATCCTCCCATATCACTCTAACACTAAGGAAATGTCCTGTGGGGAAAATCAGCTTGGCATTCTGCTAGATTTCATTCTGTCATGCCAGCCATGGGATCATAAAAAACTCTGGTGGTTTCTCTTTCCCAGTGGAGTATATCTACCTATACCAAGCTCCTGCCCATAATTTCTAAGATGAAATTAGTTGATATTGTTCCCTGATTGCTCTCACAGCTCTCTTGATATTTTTAGTATGATTTTTATAATTTATTCAACTGTGTTTGTTTATTACAGCAGAAATGATGGCCTATGATGGCTACCTGCAACATTTTACCTGGAAGTGGATCCTTAGATCACCTTTCATTTCTCTCTATGATATATTAATAGTACTTTACTTAGAATGTTTATATCTTTTATTGTACTTATTATTAGGTGTTTTTATGTTTTTAATATTATATATGGTATATTTTTTAGCTTTTAATTTTATAACTTCTGACACTGAAAAATACAGTGTATTTTTTAAAATTTGATTTTATATCTGGCAACTTTTCTAAAAACTTATATTCTAATAAGTTATCTGTAGATTGTTTTGGATTTTCTATCAAATATGAAAAGTGACAGTATTATTTCTTCCTTTCTTATCCTAATATCTTCTTTTTTCCTGTTTTAACTATTGATACCATTTAAGACCTTTACTAAAACATTGAATAGAAATGATAAGAGTTGGCATCCTTATTTTGTTCCTAATCTCCCAATGAACATTCTCCCATTTCACAATAATTGGGATAGTTGCCTTAAAGTTTTTATAGTTTTCCTTTCCTACAAATTTTTATTATACCTTGATTATTGAATTTTTTCAAATGCTTTATATGACCATATTGGCATGGTCATATGCATTTTCTTCTTATTTTATTGGTGGTGGTGAATCACATCAATTGATTTTCGAATGTTAACTCACCTTGCATTCCCAGAGTAAACCTTCTTGGTAGGAGTTGACAGACACACACAACATTTGGTTTTCTAACATTTTGTTTAGAATATTTGCTTCTATATTCATGAGACATTAGCCTATTATTTTTTTTCATGATTTTTTAAATTAGTGAATAGTAGACAGAGGGTAGAAATTGAAAAGTTCTTCTGTTCTTGTGATATAGATATTAATCCAATATAATCCAATATAGCTCCATTTTTTAAAAGCAAGCTTTATTTTTTGAGTAATTTTATATTTATAAAAAAAGATGTGAATATATATATATATATATATATATATATATATATTTTTTTTTTTTTTAATCCTCACCCGAGGACATTTTTCCACTTTTTGTTCAGATAGAGTGGGAGGGAAAGAGAGGGGGAGAGAGAGAGAAACATCGACGTGAAAGGGACACATCGAGTGGCTGCCACCCGCACAACCCAACCAGGGCCGGGGACAAACTGCAACCGAGGTACGTGCCCTTAGCGGGAACCGAACCCGGGTCTCTCCGGACCGCAGGCCGACGCTCTAACCGCTGAGCCAAACCGGCCAGGGCAAGATGTGAATATTATAGAGTTCCCTGTAACCCTCCCCAACTTTTTTCTGTTGTTAACATATTACATTAATATAGAATGTTTGTTGCCATGGCCAGTTTGGCTTAGCAGTTAGACTGTTGGCCCGCGGACTAGAGAGTCCCAGGTTCATTTCCTGCTAACGGCACATGCCTTGGCTGCAGTTTGTCCCTGGCCCCGGTTGGGGTCATGTGGATGGCAGCCGGTCGATGTGTCTCTCTCACATTGACATTTCTCTCTCTCTCTTCCTCCCTCTCTCCCTTCTGCTCTATCTGAAGATAAATGCAAAAATGTCCTCAGGTGAGGATAGATAAAAAAAAAGGGGGGGGTGGGATATAGAATCTTTGTCACAATGAAGAAGCCAACATTTGTACATTACTATTAACTAAACTCAAGACTTTATTTGGATTTCACCTATTTTTCTATTAATGACCTTTTATTTGTTCTTGAACTCAATCCAGTATATCACTTTCAATTTAGTTAGTCGTCATGTCTCTTCTTAGTCTCCTCTGGTCTATGATAGTTCCTCATTGCTTGTCTTGAGGAATACTGGTCAGATATTTTATAGACTGTCTCTCAATCGAGGTTTGGCTGGTGCTTTTCTTATGATTAGACTGGAATTACGGGTTTTGACAAAGAATACCATAGAAGCGAAGTACCCTTCTCATAACATCATAGCAGAGAGTATCCACATGACATCACTAGTGATGTGTACCTTTATCACTTGGGTAAATAACATGGTATTTGCCAGATTTCTCTGTTGTAAAGTTACTATTTCTCCCTTTTTATATTCTGTTCTTCGTAATCCAGTCACTAAATTCAGTCTATACTCAAGGGGAGAAGGAGAGATTAAGCTTTACTTTCTTGGGCTGTGGTGGAAGTAGTATCTACATATATTATTTGGAATTCTTCTGTAAGCAAGGTTTGTCTTGTCTCCTTGTATTTATTTATTCAATCATTTATTTGCTTCATTCTGTTTTCATATTCTCTATGATCTTAATATACATAATTACAGCACTGAAAACTTTTGGTTTCCCCATTGATATATAAACTTTTTGATTGAAAGCTTTGTTTCTCATTTCTCTTTGTACACTCTGTGCATTTAGTATAGTCCCTTGATTTATAGTAGACCTCTAGTAATTAAAAAAAAAAGAATGTATTTTCACTTGAACTGAAAAGTACTCTTTCCTCAGCTAAATTATATAATAGCATTCTAAATTGAAATTAAAAGTAGATTTAAAAACATAAAAATTAACTGATGCATGATTTCATTGTCGTAAGTATCTAAGAAAGCGAAGGTTACTACAGAAATAATTTAACCATTTGAGGTTGATATGTGTGCAACAAAACATTCCTTGAAACTACTTAAATATTTCTTGAAGCCCCTTTTGGAAAGATACTATAGTATTTTATAAACCAAGGATATGACCTGCTGTGTGTCCTTTCTTTTATTTGTTCAGATCACTGGAGAAGAATAAGCCCTCTCTTTCTGCCTTCTCTGGAAAACCATCATCTGATGCAGTCACTCAGATTACAACAGAAAGTCCAGGAAAAACTATGTTTTCATCTGAGATTTTTATTAATGCTGAAGATAATGGACATGAAATTCCAAAACCCAGTTCCCAGAAACTGGGCAAGGTTCCTGTCAAGTTTGCTTCATCATCTTCAGTCCAACAAATTACTGTACCTTATGGCACAAATGGAGGTAAGAGAATGTGATTGCATTTTAGGTCAGATTACCAACTTTTATGTGTAATTATCTTAGAAATTTGTGATTGTGTCTTTCTAGTCAGAAAACCTAATTTTACTTTTGTAAGCCTTAGGAACCACGTAATTACTGTATATCCATCTTTTATTTACATAGCTATAAAGAGAATATGATTTATTATGTTTTTACCTTAATTTCTAATAGAGTTAACATATGGAACTCATGCTGCTTGTGGTTGACATATTTTTATCCCATGATACTTGTAATAATGCAAGTATTTCATAAAAACTAAAAGGTCCAGTTTTAGGTGGGCATGGTTTTTTTTTTAATCCTCACCCAAGGACATTTTTCTATTTTTTGTTCAGATAGAGTGGGAAGGAGAGAGAGAGAGAGAGAAACATCGATGTAAAAGGGACACATCGAGTGGCTGCCACCCACATGACCAACCTGGGCCGGGGACAAACTGCAACCGAGGTACGTGCCCTTAGTGGGAACCGAACCTGGGTCTCTCTCGACCACAGGCCGGCGCTCTAACCACTGAGCCTAACTGGCCAAGGCGGGCATTTTGTTTTATAGTAAATGTTATATACTATAATAAATAGGTACAAATATATGTAATAGTGCAAATACAATATCATAAAACAATGACCAGGGACCCAGGTTGGTTGTGGCTCTGCTGTCTTTGAAACATGAAACCCACAATTACCTTGAATTCACTATCATAGTTAACTGGAAGGGACAAAAACCATGGAAGAACTCATGTGGGAAGTTTTTATGGGCTAGATATGAAAGTGGCCAAGAATTATTTTTTACAGGCTAAGAATAGTTTAAGCTGTGTTTTTGGTAAGCAGCTAGCCACCTCTACCATAAGGTCTATATTTAGAGAGTTCTATGGTGTTATCGTGATGGTGATAGTTCAGTAGTGCTCATACTATATAATATTCAAAATTAGAGTGAGGTGTTTTTTTTTAATTTTCTTTTTATAACAAGAAAATTAACTGCCCTGGCCGGTTTGGCTCAGCGGTTAAAGCGTCGGCCTGTGGTACAGAGAGACCCGGGTTCGGTTCCCGCTAAGGGCACGTACCTCGGTTGCAGTTTGTTCCCGGCCCTGGTTGGTCGTGCGGGTGGCAGCCACTCGATGTGTCCCTTCACGTCGATGTTTCTCTCTCTCTCTTCCTCTCTCTCCCTCCCGCTCTATCTGAACAAAAAATGGAAAAATGTCCTCGGGTGAGGATAAAAAAAAAAAAAAGAAAATTAACAATTAAGTTCCCATTCTTCCCCCAAATGATAAAGGAAATTTTAGATTACTAATTTTTTTGAGTATGTAATAGTTTGCACAAATCTATTTAAAATTTTTACTTATGTAAAAAGTTTATCCATAGATACAGTTGGGATATGCCTAAATGTATAAAAGGAGATTGCTTGATTCAGCATTTAAATTGCATTTAATTTCATTTAAATGAAACTCCCAAGCTGTACAGTTTAATAAATATCACAAAGAACATACCTGTTGCCACAGTGATACTATATAACAATAACCTCAAAAATCTCAGTGCTTTATAACAACAAACATTTGCTTTTCTCACTCATTGGTTTATGTGTCAATTGGAGTGTGGCTTCAGGAAGCAAAAATGATTTGGTTCTTTCCACTTGCCTTGTTCTGAAACCTAGGCTAATGGAACAGAACAGGAGCTATCCTACAGTATGTTGTTCTCATAGTGGTGTTAGAAACACAGAGGGGAAACCCAACTGTGAAAGTGCATTTTAAACCACTACTCAAATCAAAGGATGTATCTATATAGAGGCCACAGTTTATGGTTTTACCTTTATAAACAGGTACTTGGGAGAAAGGACTCCTTTAAAGTATTGATATTATTTGGTTTAGATTTTTTCTTAAATCCTCACCCGAGGATATTTTTCCATTTGTCTTCAGATGGAATGAAAGGGAGGGAGTGAGGGAGGGAGAGAGAGAGAGAGAGAAACATCAGTGTGAGAGAGACACATCGACTGGTTGCCTCCCACACAACCCCGACCAGTGCTGGGGATCAAACAGCAACCAAGGTACGTGCCCTTGGCCGGTAGTGAACCCTTGACTCTTTGGTCCATGGGCCGACGTTCAACCATTGAGCCAAACCGGCCAGGGCTGGTTTAGATATTTTTAATACTGTGGATTTAAAAGTAAAATTTTTATGGTTTGTTTTTTTTTTTGGTGTGAAAACATTTTAAAAAACAAAGAAGAATAATATGTTAAACATGACTATCTGCCCACTAATCTGAAGTAACAAATTCAGAATAATTTACTATATGTTTAAATTTGGTTCTATTTTTTAATTTTTTTTTTTTTGGTATGTGTCCCTAGCGGGAATCGAACCCGGGACTCTGGTCCACAGGCTGACGTTCCAACCGCTGAGCCAAACTGGCCAGGGCTATTTTTAATTTTTTGAAAGAAATGTATAGTTGAACTTTCTTTAACCCTTTCCAGTCTTTACTTTCCCCAAAGCAGCCATATTTGCTGTGTAGTCACCGCTTCCCCATAGGCAGGCAGTACAAAGTAATCTTAAAACTCTTGCATCCAAATATAAATTTGATGAAAAATTTGAAAAGCCACTTGTCTTTCTCAGAATTCTCCATCTCCATATCATAACCATACTTGATCTGGGTCCATTAAAATTCTGTTCAATTGTTGCCATTTATTTTTGCAACCTTTTAAGTAAATGGTAAATTTAACCATCACTATCAATTTTTATGTACACTGGTAGAATAAAATTAATAAATCATTATTGTAGCAATAATGATTATAGCAATGACCAAATAGAAGTGGAAGGTACAGTGATTTTTCTGTTGTTTAAATTATTCTTTACAAAATTTTTGTTCACGTTAACTTCAGTCAGGTTCTCATTGGCTAGGTTTTTGGGGAAGTGTGTGTGTGTGTGTTGTGTTTTTGTTGTAGGTTTTGTTTTATTTTTTGCCTGATGGAATGGAATAAGTATTCTTAAACAGTCTGAGACTTTACTAGGCCTGCATCCTGCCCCAATTTCCCCAATACTCCCAATCCCCTTATCATTTTCTAATTATTTTCTTCATGTCACTTATAATTTATTAAAATACTAGGTAATTGACTTCTTTAGTATGTTAATTGTTTACTATATCTCCTTTTAAAGCAGAGGTACTTTTCTTTGTAGTTCACTGATACGTCCCAAGGATCTTGAACACTGTTTGGCACATTGAAGTTACTCAGTATTTGTTCATTGAATTAATAAATGTTTTCTTATCAATTGATCTTTATCTCCTTAGTTCAGCCTTCACTGTTGCCATATAAGCCTTCTGGTAGTACGAAGATGTACTATGTTCCACAATTAAATAAAATGCCTTCATCTCTGGATTCCAAATCAGATACCACCATTGAGAGCTCACACTCAGGTATTATACAGAATTATTTAAAATTTTATATTTTGAAATTTTATTTGTAGATTGGCTACTTAATTCTGGAATGACATATGAAAGCTCAGTGCTATTTCATCTTTCAGTGAAATATGGAGCTTTTCATGCCTCAGTCTCTAGTTCAGATAAGTGAGTTATTTGGTCAGATATATTATGTATGCTTAAACATTTAATAACTATTTGATGAACAAAATTATATGGACAGTTGTTTTGGATTAGAGAACTCTGTCTAGGTCAGAGTTTTCCAAGTGTTCTCTGTTCACAGACCCCTTAATGTTTTGGTGATTTTTTTCCTCCTCATTATGTGGAACACATATAAGAAGTATTTTTTCGCCCCGGCCGGTTTGGCTCAGCGGTTAGAGCGTCCACCTGCGGTCCGGAGAGACCCGGGTTCGGTTCCCGGTTCCTGGTAAGGGCATGTACCTTGGTTGCAGTTTGTCCCCAGCCCTGGTTGGTCGTGCGGGTAGCAGCCACTCGATGTGTCCCTTTCACATCGATGTTTTTTTCTCTCTCTCTCCCTCCCACTTTGTACAAAAAATGGAAAAATGTCCTCGGATGAGGATAAAAAAAAAAAAAGAAGTATTTTTTCAAATACCTAGTAAGTTATTAGGACACAAATACTTATTGTTTTGATCTAACAACTTAAACACAAATATTAGGTATAAACAAAAATGTTAGATATTTATTTTGAAAGGAAATACTTTGTTTGAGATGAAATTGGACACAACACCCTATTTCCTGCTTTTATTACAGAAACTGTCAAAAGTCATGTTTGTAGCCCTGGTCGGTTTGGCTCAGTGGTAGAGCATCAGCCTGCAGACCAAAGAGTCACAGGTTCAATTCCGAATCAAGGGCATGTACCTCGATTACGGTTCGTCCCTGGCCCTGGTCAGTGTCGTGCGGGAGGCAGCCAGTCGATGTGTCCCTCTCACATTGACATTTCTCTTTCTCCCTTTCTCTCTACCTAAAGATAAATAGAAAAATATCCTGGGGTGAGGATTAAAAAAAAAAAAATTATGTTTGTAAAGATACAACAGCATTAAAAGGAATGTAAGGCTATCTAATGTTGAAACTTTACCTTGAGCTAGTAGTTTGTGTAGGGTACACCAGATAGCAAATATCATTGTTGTTTCCCTAGAATTTTAATATCCTACAGCACCCCTGTGTGATTGATCACCCCAGGGCAACTGCAGATTTAGAAAATGAGTAACATCCCACGGAGTTCTCAATAAATATTTTCTATGGTAACTTTAAAATAAGGGTACTTAGTTGATGTGTTGTGGGGTTTTCATTGATGGAATTAAAACATTCTGAATGGTCCACAGGAGATGACTTGGTTCAGTTTAGATATAACCTGTTTTCTTAATGATTTGTCAGTGGACATCTTTACATATGTAGAAATTACACAGAAAGGAGAAGTTGTTCTGGTCTTAGGCAGATTTTGGCTTTTTTTTGGTTAATTTTGAGAGGACAAGACTAGTATCTAACGGTAATTGAGTAAAAATCACGGGTATAACTGTTTCTAATTTCCAACTATGATGCCACTGAAAAAAAGAACCACAATATGATCATATTACCAAATATTAGAATTAATTAGTAAGCTTTTAACTAGAAACTGGAAGAAATGTCCATTACTTGCAAGTCTGTGATTTTCAAAACACATTTAATCGCTACCAGAAATAAAACAAGCTCCTCAATTGATTGTAGGTAGGAAAATCTTTGATCTTACTATCACTTTCAGCCCTCTACTTCAGAAGACAGAATGTCTATATCAACAAAAATCTGATCAGTTTTCCCAATACTTTTTTAGGCCTCTAGTGTTCTGCTATCCATTCACGTCTATAACTATTCCATCTAGTTGGAGACATTAACTTTGAGAAAAATTGGACAATGATGGAAGGAGAAAATATCTTGGAGTTGGGGTGGTGCATTGTATCCTGAGAAACATTCTTTCTGTAAATAAAGTACTAAATGAATGCACCAGTAAAATAAGAAGAAATCTAGTAACTATATATACTTGAGATTGTAGTTTTTTGTGTTCTTTATCTATTCTGGGAGAGGGAGTTGAAAATAGAAAGCAATCCTTTTTTGGACCAGTAGAGTTACTCTAGAGGAAAGCCTAGCAATTTTTCTAATAGTCATTGTCTATTAGTGTGTTGTGCATCAACAGTCGTGAGAATAATCCAATTAGAGTTTGGGCCAGGGCAAGTCATGCATTATTGTTATAAACATTTGGGCCAAATAAAATTCTCCTTCATTGAGAATGAATAAGCAGTTGAACTCATAAAATTCTTTTAAAAAATACAGACAAGGCAAAGGTAACAACATCCCAAAGAAAGAGATAGATGTTAGAATTTTACTCATTAGGCCCAGTAACACTGATAACTAGTTAAAGACTTTTAAACAAAAATTATTACTGCAGACAAGGTTATTTTATAGTGATAGAAAAGTCTATATATTATCAAAAATATAAAACCAGTTCTAAATATATATGCACCTAGCAATCAGTAATCTTAAATACAAAAAGAAAGACAAAATTAAAAAGACTCAAGAAATAATTCAATCCAGTAGCAAAAAGTCATGTATTTTATAATTCCTTTATATGAAATGGGCAGAATAAGCAAGTTCGTATACACAGAAAGTAGATTACTGGTAGCCAGGAGTTATGGGTAAAGGGGAAATGGGAAGTATTTGCTAATGTGTACAGGGTTCCTTTTTGGGGTGACAAAAATATTCTGTAATTAGATAGCAGTGTTGATTATAATTATACTAAGAACTACTGAATTGTACACTTATTTAAATGTTATGTGAATAATATCTCAATTGAAAAAAGAGAAGCAGCAATGAACAAATGAAGAGAAGTCTGCCTGAAAATGTAAACATTTGGTAGCAGATTTAAAATACATTTGCAGGTAGTAAAGAATAAAATCAACATGAAGGAAATTGAATTGGTAATGAGGACAAACTTGAGAAATTCTCCAAATATATAGAAGAAAATGAAAATGATTAAAAAGAAGACGAGACATAAGAATCACAGCTAAGTAAACCAAACCAAGAATTATATCTATAGCTAAAGAAATAAGCAGAACATTGTGAACAAAAGTATATCAAAGACTTAATGGAGGAAAATTTCCCTCTCCTAAAAAGGGAACACAGTATGCAGATTGAAAGTTGTTGAAAGTACAACAATCAGTAGTATGACATACATACTAGAAAAATATTTTGAATTAGAATGAAAGGAAAAAATTATATAAACATGTAGGGTTTTTTTTTTTTAAGTCACATAGTTAAGAGAACAAAATTTAGTCTGATATCAGATTTATTTAAAATACTAAAATCCAATAGATAAATGGAGCAAAATATATTTATATAATTATATAATTCAAGGATATATGAACCCAAGTTTATAGTCACTAAGCAATATGGCAAAGAGAAGACATTTTCACATATATGCAGGAACTATAAAATGTATTCTGTCTTCGTCCCATCTTGAAAAATTCACTTGAAGACTCACCCAGCTGAAGAGAGAGACCAAAATGAAGAGTTCAAAAAAGAGAAACGAAGTAGTGCTAAAAGCTCCTAGTAGTAAACTTTGAAGCTGATTTAACATAACACTCATCTTAAATGATAATTTAGCCCTGGCCAGAATTGTTCAGTAGTTAGAGCTTTGGCCTGCATACTGAAGGGTCGCAGGTTTGATTTCCAGTCAAGGGCAGGTACCTTGTTGCAGGTTTGTTCCCCATCCCAGGTGGGGCACATTCAGGAGGCAACCTATCCAGGTGTCTCTCTCACATCAATGTTCTTTCCTTTCTCCCTCTCCCTCCATCCCTCTCTCCTTCCCTCCCACTCTCCCTCTCCCCCTCCTCTCTCCCTCCCTTCCTTCTTCTCTCTCTGCCTTCCTTCCTCTCTCCCGCTCTTCCTTCCTCTCTCCCTCTCCCCCTCCCTCTTTCCTTTCCACTCTATCTAAAAGCAATGGAAAAATATTCTTGAGTGAGGATTAACAACAACAACAAAAAAGATAATTTAGTTGCAAGGTGGAAAAAAAATGCCAAGAGTTAATATTGAAATGAAAATCATGGAAAGAAAAAAGATTTAATTGTATTTTTTTGTCTTTAATAGAAGAAATAACAGGGTTTCATTTTATTCATAATGGTGATCAGACAGGTTAAAGAGGTTTTTATGAAACTCTAATATACCTAAAGCAAGACAGCAAAAGAAAAAATAAATTAGACTTCATCAAGATTCAAAACTTTTGTGCATTAAAAAACACTAGCCACAGAAATAAAATAAAGACAGACAAAAAATGCTATCCACAGAGTAAAACGGTAATGCAGAATTGGAGCAAACCATTTAAAGTAACATATTTGGTAAGTAATTAATATCCAGAATATATGAAGAACTCTGACAACTTTGCAACAACAAAACACAATATAATTTTTAAATGAACACAGGACATTTTTCCAAGAAAGATATATAGATACAGAGATTCCAAAATGGCGACAGAGTGAATAGAAGCTACACAGACCCTCTCCCAGGACCAAACTGGAATTACAACAAAAATAAAGACATATCGTCGGGAAAAAGCAACATAAAAGCAACTAGCAAGGACTGTATAACCAGGGACACTGAATCCATCCTGATAGGATTGCAGAAGCACTGGGGGAGGGGGGAGGCTGGGAGCCCATGGATAGATCATCTGGACAAAAAATTGACAAGGAAACACAGACTCTAAATGAAGCACTAGATCAAATGGATTTAATAGATATCTGCAGAGAATTACACCCCAAAACTGCAGAATTCACATTCTTCTCAAGTGCACATGGGACTTTCTCAAAAATAGACCACGTGTTAGAGCACAAACTAAGTCTCTACAAGTTCAAGAAGACTGAAATCATATTAAGCATCTTCTCAGATCACAATGGCATGCAACTAGAAATCAATTGCAACAAGAACATGCAAAGACATTTGAAAACATGGAG